CCGTCCTCCTCCTCCTCCTCCTCTCCCTGATCGGCGCCGCGGCGGCGCTGTCGTCGCTGGGCGAGGCGCGGATCGACGCGTGGATGGAGGAGCACTGGGAGCGCATCGAGGCGACCACGCTCGTCGTGCGGAAGGACCAGTTCGAGGCGCTGCTCGCAGACCACGTCGCCGCCCTCCTCACGCTCCTCGCGTGCCTCGTCCTCGTGCTCACCTTCGACCTCCTGCTGGTCTGGGTGCTGCAGTGCTCCGCAACCTCCCGCCATCGGCGCCTCAGGGGCGAAGACGTCGAGCGCAAGCCCCTGAGAGCGAGCAATGGCGCCGGTGTTGAGCTCGAGGCGGTGGCGCCATGAGTTCTGCTGCCCTCTACATCCCAGCGTGCTGCAACTCTTCCGATTACGAACACCGCAGATTACAGTTTGTACGGTAGTGTGGCGCGTGTCCAGACGACGCACTCCTTAGCCCTCTAGATCCTAGTATTGCGCGCTGCTCTCTCTTTTTATTCAAACAGAATCAGGAGCTCTTCACCCAGCGTGCGCAGCGTGTGTGTGCTTGCAAGATGCCAGCAAGATGCAACCGAGAACCGTTGCAGTTTTTTTTCGTCCCCGGGGGCACTCCTCAAACACAAAATGCTGAATGCGCAACGTCTTCGAGCCACCGCGCTCTAAGCCACGCTCTCCTCAAATGCCAGCTGTGGCGGCCCACCCCTCGAGCGCATGTAGCCGTAGTTCGAGGGCCGGCAAGGATGGTGTGATGTCGGCAAATGCCTCCAGGGCCCGCAAGCGCTGCACTGGGGTGCTAGGACGGTCCACAGGAGGATCCAGTCCCAAGCGCTTCTCCAGCGCCTCGAGGCGATCCGCGTAAGAGTGCGTGTGCGAGGCCCCGGCCTCCGACTTTGCGGCAAGTGCCAACGCGTGTGCCCCCGCGTAGGTGTACGACTGAGGCGCAGACCCGTGGACTCCTCCGGGATCGCGTGCTGCAGGGGCTGGGAGCAGTTCCCGGTGGCGTGGCGGCGTGGAGGAAGGGGGCGAGATGTGGGCTGGGGGAGACGGCGGGTTCGCGTCGGAGGCTGCGGCCGTGCGGTCGCTGATCAGTTCTGGTCGCAAGAACTCCTCCTTCTCTGGATGCGCGTTGAATCGCGAAAAGGAAAAGTCAGTGGCGTAGATGGAGCTGACCTCGTACATCGCTGCGTTGCCTTCTATCGCACCCTCTGCCATCGCGCTCGTGGTGAAGCGGCCTGACCTTGGGTACCAGTCTCGCTTGCCATTCAGCGGCTTGGCAGAAGAGAAGGACTGCCCAAAGATGCCGTGAGGGAGGTTACGTGCTGCATAGTCGCCCTTCAGGTTGAAGCTAAAGTCGAGCCGGTGTGAGGGGCCCTCAATCGCTTTCGTCGGAAGCGCGCGCACAGCGACGCTCCAGTTTCGACCGGAGAAGGTTGCGCTCGACATTTGCACCGCCATGCTGAGGTCTTCACAGCGCTTGGACCCGCCCTTGCCTAGCTTGAAGTGCCGGCCGTCGCAGCTGCCGTTGACCACCTTCCAGCCCCAGTTGTCGTCGTTCAGCTCGGCCGCCCAAAAGGAGACGAAACAGAGCTTGTTTTGGCGCTCGCCGACGCGCGCGACCAGGTGCACCTCGGTTATGTAGGTGCCGTCCACGATGAGCCGCTTCCAGAGCGGAAAGGTGCAGTTCTCCTGCGCGCGCCACGTGGGCTGGGATGCGGTGGTGGGGCGACGGGAATGCAATCTCTCTGTGTGTCACGCATCGTGCGGGCGCGCCACGCCGTTCGGAGATTGACAGATAGGCTCGGCGCCGAGACAAAGTTGTACAGAGCTCCGTGCCGGCCGCGAAAATCGGCGCGGCCTCCATGGGGGAAATAGAGATGCGGGTCCTTTTCCAAAGGCCAATGGTCGGGTGGACTCGGCGGAATTGGCGGAGGGGGGCTTAGAGGGCTCGGCGGAGGAGGGCTCGGCGGCGGAGGAGAGCTCGGCGGAGGTGGGCTTGGCGAGTCGGGAATCGCCTTCGCATTTGAGGTGCCAGATGCACTTGCAGAAAGGCCCTCGCCGCAATCGTTAGTGTCTGTGATTATCACGTCCGCGGGCCCTGTCTCTGCATGGATCTTCCATGCTCCGTCTGGCGGGATGTAGTTTGAGACCGTCGCGGTGAAGGAACCCAGACACACGCTTTGGTCAGACGTCCCCAACTGGATATTGCTGCCCACGTTCAGCTCCTTGACTTTGTCGTCGCCACCAGAATCCATGACAACATCGTTGCAGCAAGCAGGGTCTGGTGTCCAGCTAATGTCAGTGAGGACGACGACGCCCGCACCAGCCCGCTGCAACGAACAATCCTTGCACATATCTACGTTTATGGTGGCGCCGCTCCTTACCTTGGCGTCAGCTGGATCACGGTTTCCCTTCTCGCTATTGTTCTTGATACAGATTTCAATGTCAATCTTTTCACCCAGGTGAAGACCATCCGTGAAAGGGTCGCCGCAGTGGTAGCAACTTACAAGAGGTATGATTGCCGCTGAGGCGGAGCAGCTAGCGTCACCTCCCCGGACAGGAGAGCCGAGGTGTGCGGCCGAGATCGACATGTCGCGCAGCCCTCCTGGCCCTTAGCGCCCCTTCGAGATGCACCAACAGCGCCGCGGCTGCCTGTGCAACGGCCAAGACGGCGGCCACAAAACAGAGGGCGAGAGGGGACCTCCCGGTGTTGTTTGGTATTTCGGTTACCGTAACCCCCCTCTCCCTCCGAGTGCTCCTTTCTCCCATCAAGCCCTTTAGAACCCTCGCTACGTACAAGGGAGAGAGAGATCGCCGTGCAAAGCTCGCTTCCGAGCTCACGCCGCGCGTACGTGGGTAGGGCCTTTAGGGCCTAGATAGAGAAAGTACACACCCCTTCTTTCTCCCCTTTCTTCCATTACCATCCGGAATCGACCCTATCCAGTGCTCAAGAAAATAATTCCCTCTGATGACATCCCCAAAGTAATTTGGCGACTTCGCGCGATCGTTCGTCCGCGTCAACCATGGCGCAAGCAAGGCCACCGTCCCCGTGCCCCGCCTTGGCGCCAGAGGAGGCATGCAAGGCCGAGTGCGCCACCCGCGGCCATTGCTGCAACGCGCACCTGCACCAAGGCTCGAACCAGCACCTCTCATGCCTGCAAGCCTGCATGGTCCGGATGCGCGGGACAAACAGGTCGGCCTGCACAGGCCTCTGCACCGCCGGATGCTCGCGCGTCGTCGACGGCTACGCGTACCGCACATGTGGCCAGTGTACTGACGTCCCTGCGCACAGGCCAAGCGCGAGCGGCCCTTGCTCTGAAACCTATGGCACCTCGCCAGACACATGCATTGCGGGATGTGCAATCGAGCCTGACGTTGCTACCGGCTGCCGCCCGCCGCCGCCGCCGCCGCCGCCACCGCCAGCGTGCTGGCAGTACTGCTCCACGCATACCTCGCCATGGTACAACAAGTGTGCTTTCATCCGCCATTGCCTCGAATGCCCAGAGTGCTCCAAGCCTCAGCTGCCCTGCAAGAATTGGTGCCACGCGCACACCTCCAAGTGGATGGGGTGGAATGGCAAGTGCAGCTGGCAGGGTGGGAGGCTCTGTGGAGGCTGTTGGGACTGTGTCACTCCGTCGCCGTCAAACCCGCCGTCAGCGCCACCACCTCTCCCATACCCGCCAGGGCAGGCGCCGGAGCCACCGCCGGCGTCGCCGCCCCCCGGCCCAAAGCCCCCCCCTCCTTCCCCCTACCCTCCCGGCCAAGCGCCCCTCCCTCCGCCACCACCGTCTCCACGGCCGCCGCCCCCGCCGCCGCCGTGGCCCTACCCACCTGGCGAGGCTCCTCCTCCGCCGCCGCCGCCATCCCCGAGGCCTCCACCGCCATCGCCCCATCCGCCCGGCAAAGCGCCCCGCCCGCCGCCGCCGCCGCCGCCGCCGTGGCCACGGCCACCGCCACCGCCACCGCCAGCACCACACCCGCCAGGCCAAGGGCCACGCCCGCCGCCGCCGCCATCTCCGAAGCCGCCACCACCGTCTCCGAGTCCGCCGCCACCATCCCCCGCCCCAGCACCGCCTGGTATGTCGATCCAGACACTGGTGGCAAGCTGCTCGTGCCGCACCGCCGGCTGCGTCGCCGTGTGCATGATCCCGCTCGCTACCGTCTCTGACGCTCATACCGCGTCGCTCACCGTGCTGTACCGAGGAGACTTTGGCTCAAGGACCGAGTACGCAGACGCCTTCATCAACGGCGCGGACACACGCTCTTTCCGGTGCGGCCCCGGCGGCGAATGCGAGTCGTCGTTCCGCACCTGCGTCGACGGCCTCGACGTGCTCGAGGCGGTCCGCGGTGTGGCGGGTGGCGCGCTCGAGGTCGCGTTGCACGCCACGTCAGCGGTCAACTTCTGTGCGTATGCCAACTACGAGGCGGCCCTCGAAGTGACCGCCGTGCGCATGCCGGCCACGCCTCCCGTTCCACCCTTGCTCCCTCCCTCCCCACCGCCCCCTCCGTGCCTGAGCTGGTGCTCCTCTGAGACGAACTCTTGGTACGCAAAGTGTGGGTGGCAAGAAAAGTGCCGCGGGTGCGACGAGTGCATGCGGATGGCAAGCTCCTGCAAGTGGCTCTGCGGGCGGGAGACCCACCCGTGGGCCCAAAAGTGCAGCTGGCTGAAGTGCGAGGGCTGCCCCGAATGCTTCACGCCGCCGCCACCATCGCCGGCGTTGCCATCGGGGACCCAACCGTGCTTGCACTGGTGTGCAGACCACACCGACGCCTGGAGCGCGAAGTGCGAATGGCAGGGCCACTCCCTCTGCGGAGGTTGTGCTGGCTGCCCGACGCCGCCACATCCGAGGCCGCCGCCGCCATCGCCCGCCCCGCTCATGCCGGGGTTGAGCATGGTGACCGCCTCCTGCTCGTGCCGCACCGCCGGCTGCGTCGCGAAATGCACGCTACCACTGCCCTCCAACCTCTCCCCGGCCACTGCGTCGCTCACCGTGCTGTACCGCGGTGACTTTGGCTCAAGGACCGAGTACGCAGACGCCTTTATCAACGGCGCGAGCGTGAGGGCCTTCCGGTGCGGCCCCGGCGGCGAGTGCGAGTCGTCGTTCCGCACCTGCGTCGACGGCCTCGATGTGCTCGAGGCGGTCCGCGGTGCGGCGGGTGGCGCGCTCGAGGTCGCGTTGCACGCCACGTCAGCGGTCAACTTCTGTTCGTATGCCAACTACGAGGCGACGGCTTGCTGACTGTGTAGCCTCTCCCCCCGAGCGCATGAGCCGGGCGTCGTGGCGTAGGCGACGCTGACTTACATGTAGGAGGTTGCTGCGAGCCAGTGCTCCCGTCCCTACGCCGCCGCTCTCGATTACCCTCCTCAAGCAGAAGCGTCATGTAACAACCAACCACGATGGGTGCGACCGATCGTGCGACAAGCGGCTCGTTCAGCATGACAAGGATGGTCTAGCTAGCGCACTTTACCCTCCTTCCTGGGTCCTCAGGTCGCTCAAGCATCAGCTCACACAAACGCATCTAGATCCGCAAGCCGCATGCATCACCGGGGACCGTGCCCAGCCTCGCAGTGCTGCGCGTCGGGAGGCTCCCGTCGGCGCTCAAGAGACGGAGAGACGTAGACGGAGTTGTGGATCACTCCTCCATTTCAAATTACCCCATGCAGAAACGAGACAACAACAGCCGTGAAGAACTTGGCGCTTGCAGCGCCGGCGCGATTTCTTTCGACGCAAGCGCGCCTCTCAGGGTTCCGGCTCCTACCCAGATAGGGGGTCTGTTCTCCACGGTTAGACCCTATGCAATAGGTAGGTAGGTCCGGTTTTGACCGCCCCAGAGGGCCCCGCAATAGGTAGGTAGGTGGTGGTGTGGTGGTGGTGGTGGTGGGTGGGTGGGTGGGGGGGGGGGTGGAAGTAAAAAACCGCTTCGCTTGCGCGGGAGACGGGCCGCGCGTTTGCCGGAACGGGGCCATGCCAGGCGAGTCGCCTGCGGCTGGGACGCCAGCCGAGACTAACGGGTATTCACAGAGGGCTAACGGGTATTTTTTCGCTTCGCTGCGCGGCCTGGGAATAGGTAGGTACATGGGGCACGGAGCCTGGCGATTGGCGCCCGCAATAGGTAGGTAGGTAGGGCGTTTTGGTGCGAGTCGTGACAAGACCCCCTATCTGGGTAGGAGCCGGAACCCAGCGGCACGACGCGAAGCGGCTTGGAGTGCACGCCCAGCTCGTGCCTGCTGCTCGCCGGCCACCCGCTCTCGACGAAGTCGGGAGCCACCGATGATGACCGCCCCCCAGGGAGCCTCGTCATCCGCCGACATCACAATCCAGGAGGTGTACGAGTTCCTCTCCGACCTGCCCGGCCAGGAGACGCCGCGCGGAGCATGCGCAACCGCAGCCCTGAGCCGCAATTCGTCCATGGACTCGGTGCACGCGTCGCTCGTCGCCCAGGCTGCGGCACAGCAGCTGAGCGGCGGAGTTGGTGCATCGCCTATGATCGTACCCGTCTCGGTCGTGTCGTCGTCTGAACCCTCCTTCGACATGGGAGGCCTCGGAGGCAGTAGCAGCAGCGGCGGTGGCACTGGCGACACCAGCGGCGATGCGAGCGGTGCGAGTGGCGATGTCGGCGGCGGCGGCGACGACGACGACGCCCCCTCCATCTCTGCGGCAGGGGCCAGCTGCGCGGGCAGCCCCGTAGCAGCCGCGACTGGCAGCCCCCTCGCCGGCGCTGCCACGGCGCCCGACGAAGCGGGTGAGAGCTCGGCGGGGTCGGCGCTGGCGACACAGACCTCTGCAGCTCCGCAGCTGCAGCAGGCGCGACTACCAGAACCGGAGCCGCAGCTGCAGCAGCCGCAGCTACCTCAGCCACCTCAGCCGGAGCTGCAGCAGCTGGAGCCGATGGCTGTGGAGGTGCAGCCGATAGCTGTCGACGGATGCTACGGAGTCGTGGCAGACGCACCGATGGCTCCAGCTCCGGAAGCGATGGCTCCAGCTCCAGCGAGCGGCGGCGCGGGGTCGAGCAGCGGCGCGGCGGCGAGCGGCAGCGCCGACTCCTCGCAGAGGAGAGCCTCTCCTAGATGCGCCGCACGTGTCCCTCCCCGCCTCCCCGCCTCCCCTCCCCCCCTCCTCCTCTCCTCCCCTCCTCCCCTCGCCCGCCCTCCCCGCCGCAGCTGCGCACATGGACCGCTCTTCTCACCGAGCCGTCTCGCCGCTGCCACAGGCGCCCAGGCCGGGGACGAGGCCGCGGCGGCGGCGGCGGCGGCGGGCGGCGCGGGCGCGGTGGCGACGACGAGAAAGCGCGGCAGCACATGTGTACGTGGCCAAACTGCGGGAAGGTCCGCTCGCTCCTCCATGCCCCCCACCCCGCCGCCCCTCCCCTCAGCTTGACGGCTGCGCCACCGGGCGGGGCAGGCGTTTGGCTCCAAGTGGGGCCTCGGGCGCCACTACCGCATCCACACGGGCGACAAGCCGTGGGTCTGCACGGTCGAGGGGTGACCACGCACCCCACCCCACCCCCCACCCCTCCCGCCTGCCTCCCGCCTGCCTCCCGCCCCCCGAGGAGGCTCGCGCGCGCCTCGCGCCGCCCCCGCCCCCGAGCCCGTGCCCGCCGCTCCCCCGAGGTGCGACAAGCGTTTCGTCGACCGGACGCTGCTGCAGCGGCACATGAACACCCACTCGAACGAGCGCCCCTTCGTCTGCCCTCGGCGCGGCTGCGGCAAGCGCCTCTGCCTTCTCTGCCCCTCCCCAGCCGCCTCGCGCCCGCCTGTAGTCCCGGCTGCCGCAAGGCCTTCAAAGTCAGCAAGCACCTCGAGTACCACCTTCGGCTGCACGACAAGCCAGACTCGTTCGCGTGCGACATCGACGGCTGCGAGAAGCACTTTGCGACGCCCTCCTCTCTGCGGATGCACCGCCTCCTCGAGCACGGCCGGCCGGGCGACGAGTCTGCCGCGGAGCAGCAGCTGCGCGCCGCCAACCAGACCGTCGCCGACACGCTCGACAAGAGCAGGACACAGCTCGCGGAGGCGACTTCCTAGACACCTCCTAGACACTTCCTAGACACTTCCTAGACACTTCCTAGACACTTCCTAGACACTTCCTAGACACTTCCTAGACACTTCCTAGACACTTCCTAGACACTTCCTAGACACTTCCTAGACACTTCCTAGACACTTCCTAGACACAGCTCGCGGAGGCGCGGCCGCCGCCCCATCGCCCGCCGCCCCACCACCCCACCGCCCGCCCGTCGCACTTGCCATGCACACGTCTGCTACACGTGCTCTACACGCCCGCAGGTCCAGGCGGCGGTCAAGGCGGCGACTGCCGAGTCTCGGCAGCAGAAGGAGGTTGCCAAGATGCGCGAGCAGTTGATGGAGGCCCTTCAGAACGAGCACTCCCTCCTCGCCGACGCGCTGGCAGGCAGCGGCGGCGACGCGGGCAGCGCCACAGACGGCTCGGACGGCTCCTCGCTGATGAGCAGCGGCGTGGACGCCGCCCTCGCTAGCCTCTACCACTCTAGCGCGAGCGGCAGCAACGGCCTGAGCGTCAACCTGTCCATGCCCGCCGTCCTCGCCCTAAACGCCCTCAGCGGCGGCGACGACGGCAGTGCCATCGCGTGTGGCGATGGCACGCGAGCAGGGTGGTAGGTCGGCCTGCTTTTGAGGCTCCGTAGTCATCATCTTGATCATCGCTTCGAGGTAATCATCGCGTGTTGGCCTCGCTGCGACCGTGTCCACATGTGAGTTCCGTCTCGATGAAAGCCAGCCTGCGCGAGATGAGTCATGAGATGTTTCATCATTCACATGTTTGCGTCTACTCACACGTAAACTCATCAAAACTGACGAGGATCCGAGGCGTCCCCCCGGACCCCGGTAGAGCGTACGCACGTGCACGGAGGACGGAGTCCGGAGAGACGGAACGAGACGGAACTCCGCCCGCGCGACGGCGGCGAGAACCCGGGCGCACCACGATGGAGTTCGAGTTGGAGAGCCGAGAGAGGTCGGTGCGAGAGTTGAGGCGAGAAAGAGACCTGGAGAGAGAGAATAGTGGAACGAATTTTTATCCATCGCGTCCGAGTTCTCCAGCTGATCGTTGGTTGTATTTGTTGATTGGTCCTTTAAATCTCCTGGGTTGGCGTGCCCCGAGAGCTGCGTCTGGAGCTCCCGAGGCACATCGCCACACGACCCCGGCGTCGGCGCTCAAACAGGCCCCACACTGGGAACCACACACACACATGCGCCGACGCCGTGAGGACAGGACACTCCCTGTCCACACAATATACAATCAGAGAACACTCGCGTGCAAGGGAAGAGGAGGGTGGGTCACGCGAGATTGCGCACGACTCGGACGATGGGGTTGAGCAAGCAGCCCGAAGCTGCGAGCCGACGGCGACGCGTGCTTTCGGCGTTTCGGCGATTTGGATGGATCGCACGTTTTGTTATGCTTGCTGTTCCCCTCTCCTCACGTTGTTGGATAACCTACATAGCCGCTGCGCGGCTATCTCCGATTATCCATCGCGTCCGAGTTCTCCAGCTGATCGTTGGTTGTATTTGTTGATTGGTCCTTTAAATCTCCTGGGTTGGCGTGCCCCGAGAGCTGCGTCTGGAGCTCCCGAGGCACATCGCCACACGACCCCGGCGTCGGCGCTCAAACAGGCCCATCGCGCCGGCTGCCGGAGTGGAGAGTCCCAGGTTGTCTCATAAAGACCCATCGACAAATTGGGGTCGCCGCCCGGTAGGAGGTGGCGGCCGTAGCTGCCCCGGGCGTGTAGTTGCTGCTCCAATCGCACATCGATCCCATCGCATGTGGCCCGCCGGACGTCTTTCCTCTCATGGTCGAGAGACTGGGGGAACCGGCCGGGACAAATCCTCGAAAATCAGAGGAGCAGCAGGGGATGCGGTGCACCTTGGTACCCATGTCTGGTGTGGGGAGCCCGGTCGACCCTGCCCCCACCCCACAAACATGTTGCCTTCGCCTCGCGGCTCAGCGGTAACTGGGTGCACCTTGTTAGGTTCACGCCGCCCCAGCTCAGGTATGTCACGTTCACGCCGCCCCAGCTCTCGTCCAGTGCCAATTCCTGCAAGGGAACAGCCAGGACGGGCCCGCCACCGGCGGGCGGGCGGGGGGGCGGGGCGAGGGCAGGGCGGGCTGGCAGTGCGAGCGCCTGTACAGGCTGCGCTGCTCAGCTCCGCCACGCTTGTCATCTCGAGCTCTGTGATGCGTCAGAGGTCCATTGCCTCCTCGCGCCCACCACCCATGTAGGCTCGCTCGAGATGGCTCACAAGCCTCACAGGTGGCCACGAGGCCTCGAAGGTGGCTGTCAAGCCTCGGCTTACCCAGACACGCCTCTAGCACCCTTTGGCGTACCGCTGGTCGCCACAGCGGTCGCCTCTTTGTGTTCGCCACGATGGGGTCGTCACACATTGTGGACGCCCGACTGTGTGGACGCCATGGCGCGGCCTTGGCCTCACGCCATGGACGCCACTGTGGGGCTCGCCTGGCGTTCTCGCCCGGTCGGCACCCTTGTGTCGGGACGCCACGTCGTGATCTCGCCCCTTGTGGTCGACACTGAGGTCGCCAACTGTGGACGCCAGCAGCTTACCTTTGGCTTGCTATTGGCATGCCTCTGGCTTGCCTCTGGAGGACTCGGTCATCCGTCCTCGGACAGCTCCACCTCAGGCCCAATGCCTTGGCGGCGGCGGGTTGGGGAGCTGTCTCTCTGGGCGTCACGTTGCATACTGTCTTGCACGTGGCCCCAGTGGAGGTCTGCCCATGTGGGCCGGCCTCTTCCTTGCCGCACCAGTACGGTTCCTGCGCTGCCTGCATTGCAATCGACATTGCGGCGGCATGCGGCGGCATTGTGACGGAACGTCTGGGTGCGGCGGAACGTCGGCTCGAAAGGCCCCATCGCCGACGATATGATGCACCTGCCCCACTGGCGTGGGATCAGGGCGAGATGTCATCACGCGAGATTGCGCACGACTCGGACGATGGGGTTGAGCAAGCGGCCCAAAGCTGCGAGCCGACGGCGACGCGTGCTTTCGGCGTTTCGGCGATTTGGATGGATCGCACGTTTTGTTATGCTTGCTGTCCCCCTCTCCTCACGTTGAAGGATAACCTACATAGCCGCTGCGCGGCTATCTCCGGACAGTGTAACGGCAGTCGCCGAGCAGTGTCGCTCACACAAGCCGCAGCACAAGTGACTGAGGGCCAGTGAGGGCGAGCCCATCGCTGTCACAGCTGTGGCAGCCGCACAGTAGGCTGTGTCAGCTGTGCAGAGTGTGGTGAGCAGCAGAGGAGCTGCTCTCCAGGCTTCTGGGTCGCAAAGAGCTGCATCCCACCGAAAGCGCTGTCGAGGTTCGCCGAGCGCGGCGAAATCGGGGGACACCGTCACCGACGAGCGCGTTGGACTTTTCACTCCGGACAAAGACGGCCACACGCACACGAGCTGCGGCCGTGTCGCCGTCATAGCGGCGAGGCGCGGACAGGCGAGGTGGGTCGCGTCCCCCGA